AATCCTACACCAATCATAGGGAGATACAGTGTGCATAGTGATAGTACAAAGAGATATAGTCGTTGATGAGAACTGGAAAAGAAAGTATAAAGAAATAATAGTTAAAATAAAATAAAATCCTAGCTTGGCTATTCTAAAGGGCATTCTATTACCGCCCCAAAGATTTTTTTTCTTGTGTTTCTAAAGGTCTGAGTGGGCGTATATAATCCGTTGTTCATAGCAAAATGCAGTGTACATAGAGATGTCACATAGATACCGACGAATCGCCGAAGTGAACTAAAAAAAAAAGAAAGAAAAACAGAAGACAACTCATACGGCAACACAGTGCCGAGGAGGTTAAAACACCAACAGGAGGCAGCTAGGTTATACTTGTTTTTTTTTCACTTCTGAATTGCCATAAGAGCACAATCACCTCCATATATCACTTTTACTTAGACTTCAATTAGTAGATGAGATTAAGGAAGTCATCCTGCTGAAGTGTTTATCTCTTGCTCAGTAAAATAAATTGTGCTTGGCCGGTGGATGACACTAGCCATAACGGCCTATACCCAGGCAGCGGAACGGGGCTTTTAAAGGGACCTCAACGCTTAGGCCTTGCTACCAGGACACAGATTACAAGTAATTATCACAGAATCAATATTTGTAGTATTATTAAGCCGATAATGAAGTGTTTCTAAGAACTGAGTGGGCATATGATCAGTCATTTATTGCAAGATACAGTGTAAATAGGGACAGCACATACAGTAGATACCAACAACTCGTCGAGAGGAACTGGAAAAAAAAGGAGAAATCAGAAGATAACTCAAATTGTCTTGGAGGGCAACACTGGACGACCCCCCTCTCCCTGCTGCCCCCCCCCACAACAGCAACAACCACGAGGGCTATGACATGTGATGATTAGTGCAGGGTGACAACGGATATAGATGTAGATGGTACAGGCCTGGAGCAATGCAGAGTTTAGACGATACAAGCTGCCGTAAAGCATGAAGGCTGTTGCTGGTACTGCTCTTTCACTGTATAGTCAAGGTGAAAGAGGCGATTGTAAGCCACAGGAGAACGAGAGTTCCCTCGTAATAAAAAATAGATGAAGCTGGATCCTTGCTACCAAACCAGAAATGTTGGGAAAGAGATCCTTGCTAAGACTGAAGTAACTGATAGAATGGGAGGTGGTTGCTAAGAAAGAGGAGTTATGCTGAGGCTCAAACACGGCCCTGAGGTGGCGGAGTAAGGACCAAACAGGTTCTACAGCAGCTAGGACTCAAAGAAGTGTCTCTGAAGAAATGACAATTAGCGGACCTACTGCTAGAGAGAGAGGAGGAACAGGAAATGTTTTGAAGGCAGGAACAATGTATTAGTTTTTGAGTCCCTGAGAGCCAAGCGGAGGGAACTGAGTAGGATAAAACAGGATAAGATGCAGTTTAAGAATATTTTACAGAGGGGGAAGCTGAAGATGCCATCAATCCCTCAGGATGTGAAGAGACTGCGACAAAGCGAGGACAAGCCTCACCCTCTCAGAATTACACAAGAGTGATGAGGAGAATGGAGGTTATTCGCAGGCAAAACATTTAGCAAGGAGCGAGGCATTTTGGAGTATATTCATTCACCCAGGATCACACACAGTAATGCAGAGGAACAAAGCACAAGAAGCTCCTGCAGGACTTGAAGAAGAGGGAGGAGTCAAGGAGGAACGTGGACGGTTGTACATGGGTTATATTCAGGGGAGGGTAGTAAAAGTAAGTGTGTTTGACACAGAGCCAGGGCAGCAGAGCACTCCTCCCTGCTTCCTACCCCCACCAGGAGGTGGCATCAGCCTGCCTACCAGTTGGAGGAGGCAAGTGCCGTAAACAATGACATTTCTAACTCACACCCTTCAAAATACAGTGTACTTTCTAGCAAATGCTGCAGCTTCTAAGAATGGAGGGGGGCTGAGCACACAAAGAGCAGAGACGTTACCGAGAACAAATTCTGGCTTTCTGAAATGTCATGCACACTCATCACACACGTTTCTGATAAGTGAGAGGAGTTTGAACACTACTTGAAGGTACACCCAACCTGATATTGTAGGAGTTGTAGGAACTGTTGTACAATATAGTCTGACCCAGAGGAATGAGTTCTGCATTAAGTGGATATGACTCACTTACGAATCAAGAATCCTGCAGGAGGGGTGTGGGGTTATCTATGCTAGCAACACCCAGATTCAGCAAGGCGAGGGTACAGGGAGAGGATGTTTTTGAACAGTCCAAGTGGCAGTAAAACGAAATTGATGGAAGGGGACTTAATATTGTCGGGTGTATCTACAGATCCCCAAACGGTGGCCCACTATATCAAAGGAACTTGAGAGCCTAACAGACAACGCAGCGATGTTCAACCCTGGCCACCTCCTTTTCATGAGGGACTTTAACTATGGCGACATCGACTGGAGAAACGAATTAACCCCCAAATGACTTGAATAATCCTGCTACTCTTTTTGTAGAAACTCTGAGAGATAATTTTCTGTTCCAACATTGTTAGAGACCCGACACATTACAGAGGGCAGCAAACACCCAAGCCACTAGACCTCATCATAACAAACGAGGAGGGTATGGTGGCCAAACTGGAATATCTTGCCCCACTTGGCACCAGTCACCATGTAGTGGTGTTATTCAGATTTAACTGTTACTATGTTCAAGATAAAGCCAGGCCAAGGTGCAAATATTACAAGGGAAATTACAACGGGATGAGGGAAGAGATGAGGGGTATCCACTGGCCTGACTCACTAAGGCGAGAGAACTCAGACACTACGCTGAATATAATAACTTGTAAAGTGACCCATTTGATCGATAAATATATACCCAAGACCAAACTTAGTTCCTCTAGAAATAGGAGGGGATTCCTACACATGAACCATGCGGCGGTCGACAAAGTTAAGAAGAAAACCCAGAAATTCAAGACTTGGGTTAGGTAAACCGAAGAGCAGGACAGGAGAATGTATGCAAGAGCCAGAAACCAAACAAAGGCAGAGTGTAGAAGGGCTGAAAAGGAGTTCCAGATGCTGGTTGCAACCAAGGTCAAGTCAAACCCAAAGGCGTTTTACCGCTATGCAAAATCGAAATTAAAAACGCGAGTAGGAGTATCTAACCTGAGGCTTGAAGTTGGTAGTTATGCCGATTCTGACCAGGGCATAGCTGATGCATTGAACAGCTTCTTTTCCTCGGTGTTAGAGGACAGACGGTTCGACACAGCACTGACCCACACTGTGTTCACAGAAGAGGGTATTAGAAATAAACTGTCAAAGCTAAGGGTCCATAAGAGTCCCGGCCCTGACATGGTGCATCCCAGAGTGCTAAGAGAGTTGTGCAACGAGCTTGCCGAACTCCTGAAGATCCTGCTCAGTAAATGCCTGGATGAACAAAAGGTCCCCAGTGATTGAAAAATGGCTTATGTGAGTCCTATCTTTTAGAAGAGCGATCGTCACTCCACGAACAACTATAGACAGGTGAGCCTGACCAGCATAATATGTAAAGTACTTGAGAGTATTATTAAAGATGCGGCGATGGAGCATCTACGAAACAACCTTGTAAAGGATTGTCAACATGGGTTTATGCCGGAACGCTCCTGCTTAACACAATTGCTTAAGGTATTGGATATTTGGACCCATCTTCTGGAACGGGGCGGTAATATCGACAATATATACCTAGATTTTGCCAAGGCTTTCGACAGTGTACCCCACGAAAGGCTTAAAATCAAACTGGAAGGGTACGGAATTCGGGGAAATGTCCTAGAGCAGATAGAAGACTTTCTACATGACCGCAAGCAGTGTGTGGTGATTAATGGCACGAAATCATCATCTGTACATGTCACAAGCGGGCTACCACAGGGCAGTGTATTGGGCCCGCTGTTGTTTGTTTGTTTCATAAATGACATGCCTGACGTTGTACACTCCTCCATACAAATGTTTGCCGATGATGGCAAGTTATTTCGGGAAATCAAGAACCAAGCGGACTGTGAAGAGCTGCAGAAGGACCTCTGTGGGCTCCAGGAATGGTCGAAGAAATGGCTGCTGAGATGCAATGTCACGAAGTGTAAGAGGATGCACCTGGGGCATACCAACGGTAAGGAGGCGTATCATATGTCCCAACGGGATGAAGAAACTACACTATTTGAAACTGAATGTGAGAAGGACCTAGGTGTGTATGTTGACATTGAGCTGAAGGTAAATCGAGCAAATAAATCATTAGGTCTTATAAGAAGGTCGTTCAGATATCTAGACGTAACGATATTCAAGAGTGAAGTGCTTCCCCATCTGGAGTACTGTCACCCCGTCTGGTCCCCGAGGTATACTAGGGACTGTCAGTTGGTTGAAAATGTTCAAAGGAGGGCCACCAGACTGGTGTCTGCGCTTCGGCACCTCAACTATCCTGAGAGATTGGAGCGCCTGAACTTGCCTAGCTTATACTACAGACGTGTATAAGCATCTCAAGGGGAACTACTCAGTCGAGTGTCCTTACTTGGAGCTGGCGGACGCTCGCCCCACAAGAGGTCACAGCTCAAGATTGAAGAAGTCGCAGGTCCAGAAAACTGTGAGGGAAAACTTTTTCGGAGTAAGAGTTGTGAACCCTTGGAACAATCTGCCAGAAAGTGTTGTGACGGCACCTAGTGTGATCTCTTTCAAGACCAGACTTGACCAACACTGGAGCAGGTTCAAGTACATTTAGGAGCCGGTGCATGCCCAGTATTAGCCAACAGTGCGTAACAGAAACGTGACCGATCGTCCAAGTGGCGAACGAGCTGATGAGTGGTGAAGAGGATAAAAAGTAAAAGTCATCCTTCACCCTAGACTACAGTAACACCATACGAGTCATCTTTCACCCTAGACTACGGTATCACCATACGAGTCATCCTTCACCCTAGACTACAGAAACACCATATGAGTCATCCTTTAACCTAGACTACAATAACACCATGAGTCATACTTCACGTGTGACACATTGTAAGCTGACTTGTGACCTTTGACCCTACAGACGGCTTTCATCCCGAGGGAGGAGTGGGACACTTTCGACCCTCAGCTCATCTCGGAGGGGCTGTTTGCCGCTGCCAACATCCTCTCGGCGCTCAAGCTGGTCCACATCTTCAGCATCAACCCCTACCTGGGACCCCTCCAGATCTCCCTGGGTCGTATGGTCATCGATATCGTCAAGTTCTTCTTCATCTACACTCTCGTGCTTTTTGCATTTGCCTGCGGTAAGAGGACTTCCAGGTGCATGCGTGTGTGTGTGTGTGTGTGTGTGTGTGTGTGTGTGTGTACACAAATGACCTTACCTGAAATGCATATTTCAACATTGAGTGCAGTTGAAGTATACTTTACTGATAAGAAAAAAATGTAACTAATTGAAAATTTCTGGCCAGAGTATGTTCATTAATAATACTTTCATTAATATAATTATATCAGTTGTAAGTGCGCATCAGCCTCATGACCATATTTTGGGTGTACCTGCAGGTCTAACACAGTTGTTGTGGTACTACAATGACTTGGAGAAACAGAAGTGCTACTCCCTGCCCGGCGGGATGCCTGACTGGACCAAACAGGGTGACGCTTGTATGAAGTGGCGACGATTCCACAAGTATGTCTGAAGCTTAGAACACATGTTCCTCCTGTACCTCAAGTGCTCTGACTCCCAGAGCTTTCTTGTCCACTGTAATGTCGTCAGAGTCTCTATCTTTTTTTATACTATTCATATTGATTATCTCTTACTTCACCCGCCCTTCCTTCGATTTTCTTATTGATCAAGTATCTTATCAGAACATCACCAGCATTCATTCGTGGTGTAGATTAATAGTCTTTTTCTCTTCTACATTTAATTTATTTTAACTTTTATTTTTCGCCCCCCAGGCCCCGTTGTGGGTCGATGACATGTGCCAGGGTGGGCTTGTAGGAATTCGTGGTATAATGTTGTCTAGCACTCAGGATGGATGGAAACTATAAGGTGGTTTTCTTGTATAATATAAGTTATATGATAGACAGTCTGGTGCTGGAGGTGCCGTGTGGTGAGGAGCTGCTCAGTAGAGACGTTCGGTGAGTAGCGTGTTGAAGGAAGTAGATGTGCAGGAGCTTCGTTAGAGAAGATGTTGCCTGTTGCTGGCCTCCTGGTTGAATGAATGCTGGACAGCGAGGAGCTTGCTGGAGTAGGTGTTGCGTGTTCAAGAAGAATGGCCAGAATGAGAAAGCTGGTTGGTGAGGAAGCTCAGAGAAGGACAGCTGGTGGGTCGCCATGCTCGCTGGCGGGAGCGAGGACCGCCAGGCAGGCGGAGGAGAGGCGAGGGCCGCCAGGCAGCGGCGGAGGAGGAGGTGTTGCGTGTTGTAGAAGTGAGGCCAGAATGAATCTCAATGGAGAGACAGAGCTTATATACCCAGCAGCCGTGAGTCATCTATGAGTCATGTTGGGAAAACCCGAGAAAGTCGCCGGTCTTTGGTTCCGTTGCTAAGATACGGTAACATCTGCTGTCGCCACTCGCTTGGTTGCTAGGGAAGATGGTAGCAGCTGGTGACGCCGCTACGCAGTTGTAGGGGAGAAGTTCACTACAGGCTATTCCCTGTAAAAAAAAAAAATCTGTGACGTTTCTTCTGTTTCTAGTCCGAATCATAAAGTTCTTCATCCACTAATGTCATCCGCGTCCGATAAATCTTCTCAATTTCAACCTGGGCTTAGGTTCGTTACCCATTCTTGTAATTTATGTAAACGACTTTGACTTGACCCTTTCTGCTCGTTCTCTTGGTTGTAGATTTTTTTTTTTTTACGTGAATTAGCCCACCCGGGCACAGGTCAAACGACCCACAACGGGACCAAGTGGGCGAAAAAAAAAAAGAATGGAAAGAAATTGAAAATAGAGAAGAAAAAGGTTATACTGTGTCAATCTCCACCACGAAGATGCCGGAAAACCAGCTTTTTAAAGTGAGATAGATTGTATAAGTATGGAAACACAGAAGAAGGCAGAGCATTCCACAGTTTGGCTGTGTGAGGAAAGAAGGAGGTACGTGACGTGAAGCTCGTAACGTTGTTATGTTTGTAAAAAGAAACATTTACACTTGTTTTAATACAAATCCATCTTGACACATAAGGTAAAAAAGAATAACTTACGAACTAACATTTTTTGTATATACTTTTGTCATTTAACTCATTTTTCTTCATTCGGTACTGTCAATATTCAATGTTAAGATATTGAAATACATGCAATTGACCTCAGCAATAAAATACGGAGTGAGGAAATTAATCTCATGATAATAGTCACGAAAGATCACCAGCTTCATATCCCTACACCATGTCCCTCCAGATGTTCTTACATTATGTCTAGAGCTTCAGGGGGGGGGTGGCATGTACAGGGTAGTCTCCATCTCTGGGGCCCGCTACTACTTGGGTTAGATCTTCTTCACCTTCCACATTTATCTTGTATTCTTCCTTGAGTCTTCTGATCATCATTACTCCTCTTTAAGGAAGTTGTATACTGAATCCTAAAGTTCTGCTGTGTTCACCTCGACTACAACACACACACACACACACACACACACACACACACACACACACACACACACACACACACACACACACACACATATTATATCATTATGTCTAAATCAAATGTAAGTCTGTATATTTTCAGCCACCGGCTGCAACTCTATTAATAAACCGTTTATTATTATTTTATTATTATTATTACACACACACATACACATTTTATAATATTTTAATAATTTAGTACATTGTATAAGTTTAGAAGACTTCTCTGAGCAACACCCACCACGGAGTACTGCCCACCTCTTACTCCTGGAAATACAATCATGAAATGGATTAATGAAATAGAAAATAAGTCATAGAAGGGGGGGTCAATTCTCAGGTTTCTTCTATACCCTTACATAATGTGAGAATCAGACTAAATTATTGTTCCACACTTTTAGCTCTGATTATTGATGGCAAAGTCGAATTAGATCAAATCAACCCACTTCGAGTAGAAAATTCGTCCTTCTCTGCCCATGACTTAATCTGGTCCGTGGCCTGTGGGAGGGGAGAGGGGGAGGGGGGGTGAGTACTCCCCCCCCCCTCCCCAGGCCACGGACCTCAGTTACCAGTTGGCCGTCATTGTGTGAAGGTCTGTGACAATGCCTGATAAATGCTCCATATCTGGATGCATATCAAAGTACAGACTATATGATAAAACTTTAATATTTCATCGATTTTCAAAGGATGAAAAACAGAAAATATTTGATTTTATTGTCCATTCAGCAAATATATAGGGTGCAACAGGAGGAAGGGCAATACTTGAGAGCCTATGGCAGGTTTAAATTTAAATTCCCTAAAGTCTAACTTTCGGCCAGGAAGCCAGGTGTGGAGAGACAAAGTACCTACTGTATATGTTGCTTGAAACTGTTGTATACCCAAGTCATCTGTAATAAATCTAGTGGCCATATTGATAACCTCTACACATATATACTTCTATTCACTGATTTACTTTGATTGCTTGGGGAGAGAGAGAATGATGATGATTATATTCATTAACATTTTTTTATTATTTTCTTTAACTATTTTATTTAATTCTTGTATTCCTTCTGCCCCATCCCCAGTAAATAGCTAGACCATATGCCTATGATTACTTATTGGTTTTACACTGATACTGGCAGCAAAATCATTAGAGTATAAATAATATTAAAAGGGGAAAGAACATATCATCATTGGGTATGAGTTTGCTTGGGAGATTGGTATCCCCGCATCCCCTGAGCAACGCTCTTGTGCATTATGCAGAAGACCCGACAGCAGCACCCTTTTCCACTACCTCCTAAGATGTCCCCACACACAACGCTTCCGTGACGCCTGCTGGACCACCACTCAACGACCCCCTGACGGAGACACGATGATCCTCCCCATACTGGCCAGATATTTTGTAAATAATATTGATTATGTGTTAAAGGAATATCCTTCCTTCCTTAGGCTTTAGTAAGCCCCTTTATAATATTTACACTGGATATACTTGTCACACTTGCCAGATGCTTCTGGTGTCATTGTACAGGGGTACCTAGTGACAGCACTAGGATCCCGCTTCCTCTATCAAGGAATATACAACTGAAATTGAAATTGAAATTGAAGGGGAAAGAAGAGGATTAATAATAATAATTATTATATATCTTTTTAATAATAAGATTAGGAATATCATAAAAATAATGTTTTCATGAGAAATTCAAGTGATTAACTGAAAGATAGTGTGCTAGGGATAAAAACAAATCATGATATCTGGCAAAAATATCTTCTAATACGGTGGGGTGGTCTAACCCAGAAAAATATACGAGTCCTCCCTTACTACCGGTTTCTTTCACTACGGGCCAATGACATCACATAATAAGCACTGCCTCTTGCGTATAGGTTGACTTGGTATTATTAGACTTTAGTTGATGGATTCTTTCCCACACTCTCCTGACGTGAAGAAATCCTGGCATTTATATCAATCTTTCTGGACTGATAATTTAAGTACCCTCATCTCCAAATTCTTATGGCATTTTCTCACTGACAAGCAATTTGCATTATGCTCTTGATGCACTTCATGTATATGGCCCTCCATGTTCATAAATCTTTGCCTGTATATTATTAGTTTCACAAATATTATATTGCCATTCTCTTCATTATCTTGACTTTGTTGGGGAAAACTTGGCTAAAATTTAAAAAATCTTCCATTTTCTTCTTATTCAGATATATTCTTATATACTCGTATATATTTTTTGCTGAGCTTCTAAATACTTAATTTTCTTCTTTGCGACTTACAGTACAGTACAGTACAGTGTAGTACAGTACAGTATATCTATTGGTGTCTTGGGTCTATTTACAAAAGTTTGATGTCAACAACTACTAGTTTGAGTTTTCTATTTTCTTCCCTTATCTTGTCGTTTTTTCTAATACGTTTCTGTCTATAATATTACCCTGTTTTTGTTTACATGTTTGTCTGGTCCACCACAGTTTGTTCGAGGCATCCCAGTCATTGTTCTGGGCAGGTTTCGGTATGGTGGGTCTGGAGGACTTCGAGCTGACTGGCATCCGCGAGTACACCCGCTTTTGGTCCATGCTTATGTTCGGCGCTTACTCTGTCATCAATATTATCGTCCTACTCAACCTCCTCATCGCTATGATGTCCAACTCTTATTCCTTCATTGTTGTAAGTATCTCGTGATGGAGGAGCCTCCCTCTTCCATAGTCTGTTTTGGTGGAAGTACTGAGTGAGTTCAAGGAGTAATTAGTCAGTCACTGTGTATCGCCCGGTTTATTGTAAGGGCCCAATATTCTGAACAGGCTCTAGTCTTGTCTCTCACAGTGTAAGTGGGTTTTTATCAAGGGAGATTTAGTCTCACATTGAGTTTAAGTCTCTCTTATTCTGAGTTATAGCTTATAGGTCCCCATAACCACTCTTAACTGCATTTAAACATAACATGTACCACCTATCCAATGATTATGATATCCCCTCACACAGGAACACGCTGACACTGAGTGGAAGTTCGCCCGCACCAAGCTGTGGATGTCTTACTTCGAGGAAGGTAACACGCTTCCTCCGCCCTTCAACATCTTCCCCACCTTCAAGACCTTCCTCAGGATGTGCGGCAAACACAGTGAGAAGTCAAAACTGGTCCGTAGTATGTCTTCAAGGGTGAGTACTGCACTAACTGGCTCCTGACCATATACACTGTGATAAGTGTTGGGCCAATGGTCAGGTGTTAGTGTTGGGTCAGTGGTCAGGTGTTAGTGTTGGGTCAGTGGTCAGGTGTTAGTGTTGGGTCAGTGGTCAGGTGTTAGTGTTGGGTCAGTGGTCAGGTGTTAGTGTTGGGTCAGTGGTCAGGTGTTAGTGTTGGGTCAGTAGTCAGGTGATAGCATTGGGTCAGTGGTCAGGTGTTAGTTTTGGGTCAGTGGTCAGGTGTTAGTGTTGGGTCAGTGGTCAGGTGATAGCATTGGGTCAGTGGTCAGGTGTTAGTGTTGGGTCAGTAGTCAGGTGATAGCATTGGGTCAGTGGTCAGGTGTTAATGTTGGGTTAATAGTCAGGTGTTAGTGTTGGGCCAGTGGTCAGGTGTTAATGTTGGGTTAATAGTCAGGTGTTAGTGTTGGGCCAGTGGTCAGGTGTTAATGTTGGGTAAATAGTCAGGTGTTAGTGTTGGTCTAATGGTCAGGTGTTTGTGTCGGGTCAGTGGATGAAAAATTAATTGTAATGTTATCCTCCCGTCCAGTCACACAACCGCCACATGAAGGCCCGCGACTACCGCTACTTGTCAGTGATGCGTGCTCTCATCTGGCGCTACGTGTGCTCCCTCCAGCGACGCAATGAAGAACGACCCGTCAACGAGGATGACATCAGCGAGGTTAAGGGCGATATCTCTTCCCTGAGATTCGAACTCATTGATCTCTTCGGACATAACGGCATGGATATCTCGATGTGCGCCAAGAAGAGCAGAGGTACTGGCAGAGGGCGAGGCTGTCCACAAAACAGACTTACCTCTTTTCTTTGCAAGCTTATATTACATTCTTATTTCCTTATATTTTAGAATCTTGAATTTTTTTAGACGTCCATCATGTATTTATGATTAATGTAATGCAATGATTTTTTATTGTGCATCCAAAGCATATTATTATTATTATTATTATTATTATTATTATTATTATTATTATTATTATTATTATTATTATTATTATTATTATTATTATTATTATTATTATTATTATTATTATTATTATTATTATTATTTTTATTATTATTATTATTATTATTATTATTATTATTATTATTATAATTACCTTAATTTTATTGAATTAAATATTTTTTATATATAAATGTTTAGGGTTACTGAAAGTTGATATCAACTGGGGCTCTACTGTATTTGTCCTGTTTATCTTGCCATGTAAGATAACCCCCACCCTCCCTCTCGCTCACAGCTGCCATGGGACGCAAGATGCGAGTGTGGGAGCGTCGGCTGATGAGAGACTTCCACGTGTCTCCCGCTATGGGCTCAGAGGACACCATAGATAAAGAAGAGGTGCCCGCGGCCGAGGAGTCCGCTGGTGACAAGTTCCGTCGAGTAGCTCGCCTCGCCATCGCCAAGACTGCCAGTGAGATGTACGATTGAAACTTTGCTGTCTCTTCGTCATTATCTCCACACACACACACACACACACACACACACACACACACACACACACACACACACACACACACACACACACACACACACACACACACACACACACACACACACACTTATAGTTATCATAACAACTATGGACCAAGGAGCCCAGAGGTAATGTCTTACACACGGTGACAGCTGACTTAAGAACATAAAAACATATAAATGGAGGAAACTGCAGCCAGCCTATTGGTCCATACTGGGCAGTCCCATTTACACTTTATTTTTCTTTAAGATTTGTGGGAATATTACCAACGCGGACCTTAAGCTAAAATGCTGGTCCACCCACTGCTGGGATAAAACACCAGCATCTTTTTAGTTAACTGTACATCTCCGCCACTGACGTGGGGGTGGATACTCGGTAAGAAACTGTAGGGGTTCTTGAGAGTGGTTGGTGGTTAGCATTTTGGCAACCTTCTCTGCTGTGATAGGGGGGGTTGTATGTTTCTCCGAGCTAATTGTGTTCTAGGCACTCTATGGGGTAGTGCTGCAGTGAGTTTTCTGCTCCGCTGTCGCAGGTCTTGCACATGCGCTGCTCTGCTGGTACTTGTACAATGATTTCCCATATGCATGGGTATCCCAGTCTCACTCGGTGGAAGTTGACTTCTTTCCTTCTTGTTATATCCTTCATGAGTGGTGGTCTCTCATAATTCGTGACCAGATAGTACCACCTGGCCGATCGTGATACTGGTGTTAATCTTCTATGTTTGTCTATTTTCCACTGGGCAGTTCGTGTTATTGTGGTCTTCTTTATCTGCTCCTGACTGGGCGGGATGTTCATCTCAATGTTTCGCTGTCCTAACGCAGCCTTGGCAGCAGCATCAGCTCGTTCATTCCCTGGGATTCCGATATGACTGGGCACCCAGTTAATGATAACTTGCCGATCTTGTAGTTTTAAACCTTGCAGTAGTCCAATAACGGATGTTATGAGATGAATGTTGTCTCTATGCTCTCTGCATTGTAGTGCTTCAATAGCACATCGTGAGTCAGTGTGTATTACAACGCCTTGTTGACTGTTAATGGAAGCGTGTCTTAGGGCTCCAAGTATGGCAGCTAGGTCAACTTGCAAATTAGAGCATTCATCTGAGGTTCCCCAAAGGGATATGTTACCTCATTCTATGGTGAAGGCTGCTCCTGCCTTCGTACTGGTGGGCTCTACGGAACCGTCTGTGTAATACACTGTACTATTGTGAGGTGTTAGTGCCTTCATGTTTCTCTCTGCTATCTGTCGGAGCTCATATGGGTTAGAGTCGGCCTTTCTTGTCCCAGTTTGTAGAATGTTGAAGACTGCTGGCGGGGACTCCCACGGTGCTGGGGTGCTGTAGCCTGGAATCATTGTATCAGGTCCTTTGCTGAGGATTGTGTCTTTCAGTTCCAGTCGATTTACAGCGTCAGCTGCGCACAATAGCCATATTTTCTTGTTAAAGACATCTCTGTTAAGGTTCAGTGCTCGTAAGAGTCCATTCTTGGTGTCACTTTCCCGAGCCCTGGTAATCAGTTTTGTTGCAAAGCACGCTGTTCATCGTTCCACCCTAGCTTGAAGAGATGTGAGACCTGTCTCTATGTGTAAGTTTTAAATTTTTGACAATGACTCTCATAGCGTTATTCTGGAGCAACCTCCAATTTCTCCCACTGCCACTCAGACAGTGTGTTAAGAACCGGTGTCGCATAGTCTGTTAATGATCGAATGGCGCGTATATATAGCGTTCTTAGGACTACATGTCCCACCCCCACCTTGGGTCCTGTCATGGCTCTCATTATGTTGACTCTCTTGCCCATTCGGTCTCTTAGATAGTTTATCTCATTGTCAAAGTTGAGACCTTTGTCAATTCAGATGCCCAGGTATTTGTATACATTGACCCATTGTAGGGCAATACTTTGTATTTGCAGTTGTGTCACCGGCTCATTGTGTCCAATCCGCATGGCTTTTGATTTTGGGATTGATATCTTGGGCCCGAGACTCATACATTTTTCACTGATGAGGTCTAGTGCTCTTTGGACTTTGCTGATCTGGTTTCTGCCTTTTACTATCAGTGCTAAGTCATCAGCATAGCAAAGCAGTTTGGTACCCTCTTGAAAGGGGAGCCGACACAAGTTTTCCATGAGGATGTTGAAGAGAGTTGGACTAAGAACTCCTCCCTGTGGTGTGCCATTTTCCAGTCTTTGGTGATCCGAGACTTGTCATTGACAGGTAACTCTTGCTGTTCAGTTTTGGAGATAGTCAGCAATCCAAACCAGTAGGCATCCCTTGACGCCTTTCCGGGCCAGAGTGGTTACAATGGCCTGTGCATTTGCCAGCTCAAATGCTTTCTCTAGATCAAGGAATACTACGATTGCCTTATTTTGACCAATCGATCCCAGGAGAGTGGCCAAACTGTGTGCAGTGCTGACACCTTTGGTAAATCCAAAGATATTGTGATGAAGTGGTCCAGTTTTCCAGAGGAGTCGTGTAAGGACCATCCTTTCGGCGGTTTTGCCGATGCATGCTGTTAGTGATATTGGTCTGAAATTCTGGGGATCATTGGGTTTGGGAATAGGAACAATGTTTGCTCTTTTCCAAGCTGACGGGAGTTTGCCTGCTGACCATGATACGTTGATAACTGTTAGGAGAGCAAGGTCACCAGCAAGTCCTGCATTGCTGAGCAATGAATAGGTTATACCATCACTGCCAAGAGCGGTGTCTTTGTTTGTTTTCCTGGCCCTTCTGATTTCTTCTATAGTAAACAGACAGTCTGTAGTGTCAGCTTGTTCAATTGCATGTCTGACTACTACTTCTCTCTCCAGTTGTACTTGCTGTAGATGAAGTCTTATTTCAGGAGGTAGTTGAGCTGATGACGAGCGTTCTGCAAAGTGCTCTGCCAAGCGATTTGCTTCCTGTAGTGGCTGGGGGTAAGCTGGAGCTCTGGGCAGTTTTCCTGTTGGTATCCTGAGTTTTCTCCAGAGTTCACTCAGGCTGCTGTGTGCATTAAGGGTTGCACACCACTCGAGACATTTGTTTTCCCTAATTTTCTGAGTATTTTGACGAGCATGTTGGACAGCAGCTCTCAAGAGTTTCACTCCCTCAGGGGAAGGGTACTGTCGAAGATGTCTTCTGAATGTGTTGATTCTGTGATTCTGTTCTCTGACTTCGTCATTGTAGAACCAATAGTCTTTGTGGTGTCTATTTGTAGGGTTTGTTTTTGGTATTGCTTCCTCTGCTGCGTGTTGTATGGCATCAGTAAGGTCCTGGTTTAGTTGGTCAATATCTTCTGCTGGTTCATAGTTCGAATACCATTTTTGGAGTTCATCTTGATATAATTTCCAATTTGCTTTCTTGGCATTCCATCTGGGTGGCGGACGTGGGGGAGGAGAGAGTAGCTCCACCCTCAAAGTAGTTGTCGTTGCAAAGTGGTCACTGGTCAGTTCATCATCTACCTCTCACTGAGCCACTGGAACGAGCTCAGTGGAGATGAATGTGAGGTCCAATGTTCCTCCCAGTATGTGTGTTGGTTCCCCAGTATTAATGAGCGTTATTTCTGGAACATCTGTCAGCAGTTCCACTAGGTGATAACATTGCTGTGGTCGAATTGATCGTTGGATGGTGGGCATTGAAGTCCCCAGCAATGAGCACAAGTTCCTGTGTTGCTTGTGTCAGTAATTCACCGGCTTCTAGTCGTTTGGTAGGCGGTTTATGGATATTGTATACTACAAGACTGTCGTTTGCCAGGTGTATCCGAACAGCTTGTGCCTCTACTCCATCTCCACAGTGAACTGGTTCTACTTCTGAACTGGGGATGGTCGCCCGACGAGTATCATGCTGCCATGGGAGTTGGGCCCCTTTGGTACAGAGTACTGTTGGTATCCAGGCAAGCGGAATTGTTTATCTTTGGACATCAGGATTTCTTGCAGAATGAAGACATCAATATTTTTAGCTATGGCTGCTGCTTGTACAGTATGCCGTTTGTTGGACAGGCCTTGTACATTCCACTGTGTTATCTTGAGATGACAAGGAGGTGGGCTATTCTATCATTATCTCCTCTTCTCTGGTGCTGTAGTTGCTCTGGCGTTCATGGTTGAGTCGCTCTCCTCCTCGTCTGTTAGGAATGGTGTGCTCATTGGTGGCTGTTTCTTGGGCACCTGCTCTAAGGGAGGAGCAGGAGGTGGAATTCCGCTTGTTTTTGGAGGTATCTCGGGAGTTTTTTCTGCTTTTTTCAGGGTGCTGTCGCTCTTGTCTGTGATCGTGTGTTTGCTGACGGTCTGTGCTTGTTCAATTCCTCGTGATCTGTTGCGAGGGGCTTGAGGCTTCACGGTTTTGAGTGATCTCTCGAATGCCAAGTTCTTCCTCTTGTCTGATATCTGACTCAAGGGCGTCGTTTGTTCCACTTGTATTTGTGCAGTTTTGGGGGTCTGGTCTTCCTGCATCTTTTCTGTGAGCTGTGTCATAACTGCATTTATTATATTTTCGGTGCTGGTTTCTTATTTCTTTATTATAGTAGAGAAAGTCACTATCATAATGGTGATCATCTGTTTTATTTGTTCTTCTGTGAATGCCGCTTGTAGATTGGCAGGCTGGGGTGTATTCAGTTGGGTGGTCGCCTGAGGGGGGTTTTAGTGTCCCAGGCAATATGATGTTCTCCACCACTACTGGAGTGTTCTGTACTTTTACTGCTATGCAGCTTTGGAGCTGCAGTTGTGGAGTCCACTGATTTGTCATGGTTTCCTGCATGGACTGATTTTGTCCCGGTGTCTTCAGTTTTGTCCTGTAGCCTGGTGGGGAAAGTGCAGGGAAGGAAACCTCTGACTGTTGGGGCGGGGTGGATGTTGGGTTGACTTTTTTCTGTCGCTGTTGACCCCATACGAATGTGCTCTAAGGTGCTTCTGTTGTGTTTTGTGGTTGAATTTTTGCCATTGCATTTTTCATCAGCTCTCTCCTCTCTGGGCATGATGTGCTCCA